AAAATCAGGCTCATTCTTCACTATGCACCCACCAGAACCCCGAACTTGACATAGGCTCTGCCTATGGGTAACACAGGCAGCAGTGTGGCTGTCAGTCTCACACCTGGCCAGGAAGTAGAGTCCCCTGAACACTGGTAACACCCCTAGTGGCTCAGATCCCCACCCCCAAAATCCAGGGGGAAACAGGACAAATTCCAAAGAGCAGGTGCCACCGTGCCATGGCATCTCCCAGACCATGGAGGTAACTACATTATAGGTGATTACGGAAGGAGCCGGACAGAAGAGCCCCTGGGTGTGAAAAGACCCACAGGCACACCCTTTCTCAGATACTCTATAGCCTGACCCCCATCTTTGCAAATAACTTCATTATACTGCAAGAATAACCAGATAACAGTATACACAGACACTGTCAGGAGCCAAACCAACACAGGGACCAAACTAACTCTTCCATCACCATCCCAGGGTCCCCTCAGAATGACAGAATCATGGGACATTTGGCTCCACTGTTTCTCCAACAGTTTTGGGTGGTTGCCAGAACAAAAATGGACCAGCTTAGCTTACAAAAGATGTATCAGAGGGTTGGAGAGATGGTTCAGCTTTTGTAGAGGACCACAGTTAGGTTTCCAGCACCCACATAGAGATTCATAACACCTGTAACTCCAGTTCAAGGGGATCTGATACTCTCTTCTGGACGAAAATGAATGTGGTGTGCTAACATATGTTCAGGGAAAACATACACATAAAATAAAAGAGGCCAGGTGAGATTACAGCAACATCAACTATCTATCCCCCAACCCTAGGATTGGGGGGGATGGTAACCAACCTCCCAGCAGAAGGCAGGCCCTGCTCAGGGACCTCCCCCTCACACAGACATAATCATAAACACACACAGACAGACAGATATAAACACACACACAACAGCACAGCACTATCTTTCCAAGCAAATGCAGCACTGGGTACGGTCACCGGATCCAGATGCTGGCAAGACACTGGCCCTCTGCTCTGGAAGCAGACTGTGTTCCCTTAAGCAGCTGCCCTCCCCTCCCCTCCCCCTCCACAGAGTCTCACAGGGGGCAGCCTGGCTTTCCAGGCGCTGCTTCTATTTTAAAACACTCTGGAAGCTGGGCCGACACCAGCAGCAGCAGTCTTCCACAAGGCTTGGGAGAATGGAGCTGACTCAGGGCAGCCTGCCTACCCACTCACCCACCTGTGAAGAGGGGAAGGCTATGCTGGCAGTCAGCACTCCAGGGTCTAAGGTCTAGCCAGGCACACCAAGGCTCCAGCATAGCCACAGACATCTCAAGAGCCCACACAAGGGGTAAGGGGGTTGACACAGACAGTTCTTTTAAGCGCTTAACCTGGAGAATCAAGAGCATCTGGGCCCATATCCTACTCCCCTTTCTACGTAAAAGATCCAGGTTAATCAGTCTTTCCAATCCCATTTTTCATCAATATAAAACACTAGTGGATGGTACCCACAGAAGGCATGAAACAAACACAACTAGCATTCCATCAAGATGACAATAAACTTCAAACTCATTATTAAGTCACCAAGGATGACCACCTCCACCTCCACCAGAGTGTATCCCATCACACTGACTTTCTACAGTGTTGCAGCTAGGACCCAGGGCTTCCTGCAAGCTGGGCATGCATCCTACTGAGCTCTATACCCATTCAATAGTTTACATTGCTACATTTGTGGCTAGGGATCTAAGCAAGCCCCTGTTTTGCATACTATTATAATAATGGTCTCTGAGCATCTTGTCAAAGACTCACCTTGAACCACAGGGTGCAGAGTCCTCCTCATCCATAAAGAAGTATTGTTTAGCTGGATGCTGTCTAGCTAGGTCCTGGAAGAACACCTCGCATCTCGTCCCAGGGAAAACTAGGCTTTCTAATACTCAGCCCTAAGATCCTTGCTGGAAACTGGACTGATTCCTGTGGGCACTATCCACTGCAGATGGCCAACATCAGCTTCATATTTCTTTTTCTGTTCCCAACCAGAGTGATTTCTACTTTATAAACTCACACCCACGAGCTCAACACATAGCAGTGGTACAGTGTGGGGACCCTAACAGAGAACTACCCTGTGCCCAGACACCAAGCATACACAGCAGGGTCACAGAATATGCACACTCTAGCTGGGCAGTGGTGTCGCGCATCTTTAGTTCCAGCACTCAGGAGGCAGAGGTAGGAGGATCTCTGTGAGTTCGAGACCAGCCTGGTCTACAGAGCTAGTTCTAGGACAGGCTCCAAAGCTACAGAGAAACCCTGTCTAGAAAAAGCACCAAAAAGAATATATACACGCTGAGCTCCAGAATGGACAACAGTGCCAATCACTCTTGTACAGCAGATTCTGGTATGATGGTACACGTCTGCAATCCCAACACTCAGGCGGAGACAGGAAGATCAGAAGTTGTCCTCTGACCTCCACATGTGATGTCTACCTCCAAACAAATAATGTTTTAAAACAAAAGGGGGAAAAAAAAAGCAAAGAACACTTTAAAACAGAGAAACTAAGAAATAAGAAAGCTACTTAACCTGAGCCAGACCCTGTGGCTCTTGTGAGTCCAATCAGTGTTGAGAGCCCAGGCTGCACTTTGGAGCTTTTTCTTGCTCAACTCTAGGTAAAATGCTTACACCTGTGACTAACAGTGAAAGGGAGGCCTGTGCCCAGGCATTGCTGAGCCTGCCCTCATCATCCTTTCTTGATGACTGCCAAGGAAACGTGGGGAAAGGACAAAGTTACAGAGTACAACCTTTCTGGAATCCTGTGGAGGCTAACCTCCTGCCTTTGGCAGTTCTCAGCCACAGTTTCCCTCAGTCACCACTATTACAGGTGTCCATCATACTGTGGGAAACTTAGCAAGAGCAAAGGGCCTCGGAGCACCTTGAGGATGGGGGTTAAGGTTGCCCTTACCACCACCATCTCAATAATCCAGAGTCTACACCTGCTTCAGGTTCATGGTCCCAAACAGCCTGTCTAAAACCTCATTCTAGTCTAGATAATCAGAAACAAAACGAAGCACTCTGAGTACCCACTGCTACAGCTGGGGCCAGGTACCTCCCTCAAAGTCACATGATAGTAGAAGCCACCAGACACACCTGTCAGAAAAGGAAGGCGCAACAGGCCCAAGGCCTTGGCCAGAATTCCATTCACCCACGTCACATAAAGCCCAGAAACACCCGTTTGACAAGTTCCCACAGGACTTGGGAAGTTGTGGAATGTTATAAGGGAGTAACTTCTCATCTTTCATGGCTACTGCTGTAGGTTAGTATGTGCCATTACAATTCTTTAAACATCTGTGACTCTACTAGGTCAGGATAGCTTATATGAGATGCACATGTCTTCTAATGAGTGTTCAAGATTCCTCAATTTAATATGCACCTCCCATGTGTCACTTGCTGTGGTAGGATATAGAGCGGAATGAAAAACAAATGGATTTATTGGGGCTGGAGAGATGGCTCAGGGGTTAAGAGTGCATCCTGCTCCTGCAGATGACCCAGGTTTGATACCCCAGGCCCACCTTGGGTAGTTCAGGGGATCCAGTACCTTCTCCTGGCCTCTGAGGACACCTGCATTATATGCACACAAATTCATATAGGCACAGACACATACATCTAAATAAACATTTCTACAAATTAATATATCACCACTGACCTTTCCTATCCACCTAATGTATGTCAAGTGGTTCCACCCAAGACCCTGAAGACAACGCTGCCTGGGTAAAGAAGCCCCTTCACCCATCTCTCTGGTCAAGGGAGGCAAGGGTAAGCCCAAACCCTTCCTGCAATCCAGCTGGGTCTGCAGTCAGACTTAGTGATCGAGCCTGACGACTGTCTGTAAACAGGCAGTATTTCATGAATTGTCCTTCAATTACTCAATATCTTGTGGTGCACAAATGGTTGTTACTAACATAGTAATAATGGGATTAAAGTAACAGGACCCCATAGTTGAGTCCTTTTCAGGGCACAATGTGAAACAAAAGGTCTGCGGGGGGGTAGGGGGGGATAAAGGGAGTGAATTCAATCCTCCCCAAAAGCTCCTAAGGTTAAGTGTCAAAGTTGACAAGGTGTGCTTGTGTGTGCCCCAAGGCTCCGTGTTAATCGGATCATTTTATTCTTCCCCCCAAACTCAATGAAGTATATATAACTGCTCCTATTTCGCATAAGATAAATTCGAAGTTTGAAATCTTTCTACCAGTGTGACCTTGGACAAACCATGAAGAGTTGTGGGCCTCCAATCAGATGTCAGACCCTGGAAACAGTTTCCCGAATGCTCAGTTGCATTTGGTGACACAGAACAAGGAATCCATCCCTAAGGCCAAAGAGGCATATCGCTCCCTATGGGTCTCGCCTCTAGTCCAGGCCCAGCCCTGGAGGCCTAAGTCCACTCAGGACAACCCGTTCCGTCCGGGGAGGCACTGGCATGCGCGGGAGGGACCCAGCGCCACCTACTCCGGGCGTGGGCCGACTAGGGCATACAGGGGCTGGGGGCTCCAGGGCATGGCCATGCCTGGAATTCGTCCTCTCGGCGGCGGAAGCTGGGTCTGCACAGGCCCTCTGGACTGGAGAGGAAGGGCTTGGGCTGAGGGAGGGTCTCTACCAGATCCATGTCGACGAGATTTAGAGCCAAAGGGCGCCGCCAGGAAGGTCACCTACACCCGAGGCCCGCCCGGCCTCCACGCGGCTGCCCTTGCCCTTCCGCCTGCATGTTCGGACCGCCCCTCGCTCCCAACTGCAGGTGTTCTGGATGCTCTAACTCGGATCTCTTCCTCCTGAGATCCGCTCGGCGCCCGCCCTCCAGGCCTCATCTACCCGCCCGCTGAGCCTCCAGGCCCGCGATGATCCTCCCTGGTTCACCCTTCCCGATGCCTGGCTCCTAGGCCCTGCGCCCTCGCCCGATCCTTACTCGATCGCCTCCCTCGAGACTCCCCAGGAGAGCTGCCCGAGGCCCCCAGGGACTCAGGCATAGCCGGGGCCCTCTCTGCTGCGCCTACCTCGGAGGCGGTGACGGCGGGAGCAGCGGCAGCTACGGCGGGGGCTGCGGCGAAGAGGCTGGGAGCGCAGGGAGCGGACCGAGGGAGGAGCGGAGCGGATCACGGCGGCGCGAACACGCCCCAGCTCTGCGCGCCCGGCCCTGAAGCTCCGCCCTCGGCTCCACCCCAGACAGCGCCCTGACCTGTCCCGGGGTCCTTTTCCAACCCCGCGAGCAATACACTGCCCTTCAGTGGCTCTGTGACCGCGTGCGGCCGTGCGTAAAGGCCTGCGTGCACCCGGGTGCGAGGCGTTAGGGAGGCGTGGGGCTGACGTTCGTGAGGTGTGTGCGTGCGCGGGGACACGCGGGTCACTGCTGGAGTCTTCAGGCTGCTGGAAGCATTTGGGAAGAGGGGGAGGGGAGCTTCCGGCACGGCACATTGAGCAGTGGCTTGGGGACCTCAGTAATAAGAGCGTTGGAGCCTTGTGGCTCCTGCGCAGCCTCGAGGCCTCGAATCACCCGAGGCCCAGTGGGGACACTGGGCTCCGGAGGTGGCGCTGCTTAGGGCAGAACGGCTACTGTCGTCCTCTCATCTGCGCTCCGACCTCTCTACACTAGGTTTCCGGAGCCTGCGACATGCCCGCTTGCGTCAGCGAGTGAATTGCGAATTAAACTCCCCTGATGGCCGGCTCTGCACTGCAAATTTGCGTGCAACTTTCCCTCGTGGCGAAGCCGCTAGACGCCACTTCCCAAGCAATTCATAAACTAGAAAAGGCAAAGTGAGTTTTGTAAGATTCGATGCAGAGTCTCACTGCGTGGAGAGGTCACGCGGGTTCTGGATGTCTGCTCTCCTGCAGTGTGGAGCGGATGGTAACTTTCTCCCAGCCTGGTCTCCTTCCCTACTGAGCGGCTCCCAGCATCCCACTCCAAAATAAATCAAAACAGGCCGGTGAATGAAGACTTCACACCCTTTGCCTTCAACTAACCAATGTCCTAGGAGAATCCAGGCATTTCGGTTCCAGCGGAGGGAGCCACCACCAGCTGTGGCTGAATAAGGCAGCAGGAACATTGGTGGCCGGCCACTCTGAGTTTAAAATGCTTTTCCAGTGGGCTGAAAGAAGGAAACTGATAAAGGAGTGTGTGTGTGTGTGTGTGTGTGTGTGTGTGTGTGTGTGTGTGTGTGTGTGTGTGTTTGGCAGCTGAGCCTAGATCGGACTTAGACTAAGGGAAAGCCCTTCAGGATGGGGTGTGGATAGACATATAACTCAGTGGTATGGGGCTTGCTTAGCATTAGAAAGCAAGCCAGGGTTTTTATATAACTTCCCAAGTCTGTAGGTTTACCTGACAACGAAGACCCAAGAGTAAAGCAGACCATGAAAGCTGCTGAGTCACAAGGGAGTGCTCCAAGAGCTGGTGGGAACACCGATACACAAGGAAGACTTGTCTCCAAGAAAGCCTTATACTTGGCCCTGGGCCCTGATGCTCAGTTGTGGGGCAGAGAGCCAATGTTCAAAGTCCTTGCCCTCCAAATACCATCGCAGCATCCCTTTCAGAACCCTCAGCCTGGAGAGTTCTAGTGGCCTCTCCTGTCCTCCCCAGCTGCCCTAGGTAGGATACGAAATCACCATGACAGCTTCTAGGCCACTTTGGGCAGTGTGGCCATGGGCAGGAAACCTGGCTTCTCAGAACCTCAACTTGGAAATGTTGGTGTTAGTTTAAGATGTTCTTGCATCTCTCCATGTGGGCTCTGGGGATTGATGGGCTCTCGGTCCTGTCCTGCCCTCTTCACTTGCAGCCTGCTGAAGTGTTTCAGAGACTTCCTGGGGGAAATCCTCACTCATAAAGCCATCCACATTATTGTGACCACATTGCAGACTATAGGCAAGTTATAGCAAGCCAATCAATGGCGGGAGATGCCCATCCTGTCCTACTTATGGGGCCCTGTGAATGTATTCCTTTTTTTAAAAGATGTATTTATTATGTATACAGTGTCCTGCTTCCATGTATGCCTGCATGACAGAAGGCGGCACCGGATCTCATTATAGATAGTTGTGAGCCACTTTCTATATGTAGTTGTAGGGAATTGAACTCAGGACCTCTGGAAGAGGTCAAGTACTCTTAACCAATGAGCCAACTCTCCAGCCCCATCTTTTTCTTTCTTTTTTAAGATTTATTTATTTAATGTACTTTGGTGTTTTGCTTGTGTGTATGTTTGTGTGAAGGTGCCATATAGCCTGGAACTGGAGTTACAGACAGTTGCCATGTGGGTGCTGAGAATTGAAGTCGTGTCCTTTGGAAGAGCAGCCAGTGCTCTTAACCCTTGAGCCATCTCTCCAGGTCCAGGACACCCCCTTTTTTTTTTTTTTTTTTTTTTTTTTTTTTTTTGAGGAGGGTTTCTTTGTGTATCTTTGGAGTCTGTCCTGAAACTCAATCTGTAGACCAGGCTGGCTTTTGAACTTACAGAGATCTGCCTGCCTCTACTTCCCAAATGCTGGGATTAAAGGTGTACACCACCACTGCCCAGCTGTCAGCATATTCCTTAAGGAAGGGTCTTGCTATATAGCTGAAGCTGACCTTTAACTCATGGTGATCCTCCTGCCTCAGCCTCCTAACTGTTGGGATCATAGGTATGTACCACCATATCCAGCAAAGATGCTAGTTTTAAAAAAGATTCATTTATTTTACTTTATATGTGTTGTCTGTATATATGTCTGTGTGCCACATGCGTGCCTGGTACCCCTAGAGGTCAGAAGATAGTGTCAGATCCCCTGGAGTTCTGGATGGTTGTGAACCATCATGTGGATGCTAAGAATTATGAACCACCAAATGGGTGCAAAGGATTAAATCCAGATCCTTTGCAAGAGTAATTAAGGCTCTTATCTCCACCCACCAGGAAGAATATTTTGAGACAGGGTTTCTCTGTGTAGCTTTAGAGGCTGTCCTGGAACTCGCTCTGTAGACCAGGCTGGCCTCGAACTCACAGAGATCTGCCTGCCTCTGCCTCCGAGTGCTGGGATTAGAGGTGTGTGCCACCGATGCCGATTTTTTGTTTGTTTGTTTGTTTGTTTGTTTTTGGTTTTATGAGACAGGTTCTCTCTATGTATTCCTGGCTACCTGGAGCTCACTACATAAACCAAGCTGTCCTCAACTCACAGAAACCCTCCTGTCTCTGCCTCCTGAGTCTTGGGCTAAAGGTGTGCACCACCATGCTTGGCTAAGAATCTTTCTTAAAAACCTACTTTCCTGGGGCTGGAGATGAGTCAGTGGTTAAGAGTACTTCCTGCTCTTCCAGAAGACCTGAATTCAGTTCCCAACACCCACATCAGGAACCACTTGTAACTCCAGCTACAGCGTATCTGATGCCCTCTTCTGACCTCTGCAGATACCTGCACACATGTGACATTCACAAATACAATTTGCACACATAAATAACACAATTTTTAAAAATGTCCTGAAGTGTGGTTGGCATGTAAAAAGCTATACATGCTTAATACATAAATTCCCCACCCTTCAACTGTCAGTGGTGGCACACACCTTTGATCCCAGCTGAGGAGGCAGAGGCAAGTGGATCTCTGTGAGTCCAAAGCCAGCCTGGTCTACAGAGTGAATTCCAGGACATCCAGGGCTACACAGAGAAATCCTGTCTCAGAAAAAAAAAAAAAAAAAAAATAGTGCTGGAGAGATGGCTCAGAGCAATGGCTGCTCTTCCAGGGGTCCTGAGTTCAATTTCTAGTGACCACATGGTGGCCACAACCATCTGTAATGAGATCTGGTGTCCTCTTGTGGCATGCAGGCAGAACACTGTATATATAATAAATAATCTTTTAAAACAAACAAACCACATTTCCATGACTTTAGACACAAACCTTCAGGAAACCAGCACCATCAACAATCTGTACAGATGGCAATCACATCCCTACATTCCTTTTTCTAGACAGGGTTTCTTTGTTTCTCTGTATTGCTTTGGAGCCTGTCCTGGAACTGACTCTATAGACCAGGAAGGCCTGGAACTCACAGAGATCCACCTGCCTTTGCCTCCAGAGTGCTGGGATTAAAGGTGAGCACCACCAATGCCTGGCCCTCTACATTTTTTTTCTTTTGTGGTGACCATTTTTAGAGACTGGAGAAGAGATGGCTCGGCCATTGAGAACACTGGTTGCTCTTGCAGAGGATCCAGGTTCCATTCCCAGCACCCACATGGTGGCTCATAACTGCCTGTAATTTCAGTTCATGCAATCTGACACTCTGTTTTGGCTTCCATGGACACCAGGCAAGTGTGTGGTGCGTCTGCATGTGTGTGGGCAAGTACCCGCACACAGAGAGATGGCTCAGCAGTTAAGAGCGCTGACTGCTCTTCCAAAGGACCTGAGTTCAGTTCCCAACACCTACATGGTGGCTCATGCCATCTTTAACTTTAGTTCTAAAGGAGCCTACACCCTCCATTGTGGGCACTGCCCAAATACAGTGCACAGTCATGCAGGCAGGCAAGATGTCCATACACATAAAAATAAGTAAACGTAAGGCAGAACTGTTTGCCTATATACCATTAGGAGGTGCGGGAGATGTGAAGAGTGTCCATGGGTGAGAGAAGAACACTGTAGTCAGCTCTCTTCTGCATACAGATTAAACGCAGCAAACACCTCTACCCACTCACCCATCTCTACTGCCTTTGGATTGTTTGGCTGGTTTTCTCTGTGTAACAACTCTGACTGCCCTGGAACTCTCTCTGTAGACCAAGGTGTGAGAGCAATACTGGGTTCCAGGGTCTCAGGGAAGGGATGGGGACATAGAGATGTTATCCTGTGTCATCTGGTGGCTCTAATATGCTCACAAAGATCCTTAAAGGATTGGGTGTGGTGGCACACAGCCAGAATCCCAGCAACTTGGGAGGTTGAGGCAGAGACCAGAAGGTGGGGGCCAGCCTGCACTACATAGCCAGCCCTCAGAGTTATTTATTTTATGAGAGATGCATACATGCCACAGTCCACCTATGGGGGTCTGAGGACAGCTTGTAGGAGTCAGTTCTCTCCTTCCACCATGGTCCAGGGGATTTAACTGAGGTCACTGGCTTAGATTTTCCTTTAGTGTCAAAGCCATCTCACCAGTCCCACAGTTTTTACTTTTTGAAACAAAGCCTTGCTAAGCTGCCAGGGCTGGGTTTGAACACACTTTATATCCCAGGCTGGCCTTGAGTTTGCTAAGTTGCCACAGTG